TTCGACTTAGCCGCCGTAGGTTACACGAGAATTGGAAGGAATTAGCGACAGACTCGCCGATTTGCCGCACAACACTAGCTATAAGTCCCGCTTTCTTAGCCAAGAATTCAGCCTTCTCCTTTTTAAGTTCATTATTCTCTGCTATAAGCTTGGAAATCTGTTCTTTTAATAAATTAATTTTGGATTGTGTATTTGCCATTTTTTATATAAGGTGCAGATTATTCAAAACCGTTTTATTATGCAAATATGTGAGTTATTCATGTGCTAAGGAAAAAAAATTAACTATGCGACTACATAGTGACCCAACTTGATGTAGTCCGTGATGGGCCGTGATCTCGTATTTATTGATATATTTACATGATTAAAAATATTAAAAACTTTATTGTAAGTTATGAGTTGAAGACTTAGCACTTCGTGATTCGTAATATATACATGATATTTTTGCTTTGCAGGCACAGCCTAGAATTTCGGGGTGATTAAGTAAAACAGATATAAAAAATTTACGTGATTTTAGAATACTCTTTTCCGATAACGCATACACCATATACATATGACATACCACCCGCATACACGAATTAAAAAAAAGGTGGGCCCATGGGCAAAAACTTAATTGATATGATAGGCTACCACTTTCTCGCATAAATGCTCGAAGCAGAACAGAGATAAAAAATACACGACTCTGATCATGAAGAAAATCTGGTTAATTTTATCTTCCGAAATGGCACTATTTTTCTAATGGACACGCATATCATAATTTTATATGTAGTAGCGTAGCACAATTTTATATGTATGTCGCATACACCGTACACAAATATTAACGTTAAAATACTTCATTATTTTTCTACCTATCACGTGCGCGTAACGCAGATCAGTCGAGAAAAAAATTTTGATTTTCACATTCTATTTCTAAACTTCGCTGGGTTCCCAAGGACACTCACTGCACATACATTAATACAAATTAAAATTCCGAAATTTTGACAAATCCCACTGAAAAAAATAGGATCACTAATTTTCATCCCACTGAAAAAAATAGGATCACTAATTTTCATCCCACTATAACTATCGTTGAATAATATCTTGAAGATCTCGAACTCATCTTTTTTTCAGGAGTTATATGAGTTGATGATGTAAGGGATACAATATTTTGAGGGGGTGTCTGGGACCCGTCATTTTCGTAATAGTTATTAAGAAAATGTTCAAAATCTACTTTTGACTCATTAATCAAGTTAAGTGTTTGCTTAATTACAGATTTTACGAATAAAACCTCCATTATAATGAATCCAAGTGGTTGATATTTGTTTAAACGACCAGGAACTTCATAAAATTTTCGACGATGGATGCAAGTAACGTATCCCATCGGAAGATCTACGGTAATTACTTGCATCATATTCGCTCCTTGGAGAATCCCAGCTATTTGTAACTTTCTTAAAACATCTTCTTTCATATTGCATTCTGTTGCAAGTACATTAATCATATCTTTAAGCATCTTGGACATTTTTAAGGAATTCGTTAAGAGTTTGGTTCCCTTTGTCCCCTCCCAGTTTCTTCCAGCTTCAATTGCGCCAAATTCAAGGCGCTTGTTGCGTAATCTAAAGATCCCATCTCCCTTTTTGCCAAATTTTTTCGGTCATTTTCAGACCTATCAGTATTTTTTCTATCACTTGACGATAAACACATTCCTTCTCCTCGCACCAAATCAGTTTCCATCTCACGAAAAGCGGGATCAACTAAATGAGCCCAGATGTTCATTTCGAACCACCCTTCTAGTTTTGAAGCTGAAGTAAAATCGTCTTCTCCTCTCCATAGAGAATACATTGACCTATACGCAAGGTTAATATAATCCAAATCTGTTGAATAAGGAGCATTATCAGAAAAAAGGGGCTCAAAAATAACTTTTTGAAGGGTAGGTAAATTGTCTACATTGTATTTTTTCAAGAGATTCACAATTTTTTCGTCGATTTTTGGTACTTGTTTTGGATTAGAGGAAAATATTTCGTTCCACTCATTTTTGTTAAACAGTTTTTTTGCCTCCATATCAGCATCGTTTATAATGAAAGAGTGTAAGTAAGAATCGTATTCTAATTCTCGTGCGTGATCGTATATAACTTTTTCGACGACACGCCCAGATGAATTGAGAACCCACATTTTTGAGGGGTCAAGAGCTCGGTAAGCAAGCTCAAAATTCGAGAAATCATAATCACTTTCTACTTCGTAATTATAAGTGGTGGACTCTTTAATATCAAATCGGTTTGATTGTCTTTTAACCTGAATCAAAATTGTAAAGAACGTCAATAATTATAGTTCCGTAACTGAAATACACTAGTGTTACTTACACTCCTGGACTCCTCACAATTGGAATCGAAACTTGTATCTGTATCTGTTGAGCTTTCGGCATAAGATACTACCTTACTCTCTCTAAGGCCCTCTCGCTTGCGTTTAGTAGTTGAAGTGTTCCCAGCAATGGTAAGAGAGTTTCCTGATAATGTCGAATTGTGGATGTTGTGTATATGAATCGAGGAACCACCGCTTATTTTACTTGATTTACATGTTTTTTCCCAATCCTTGACGCGTTGTTGGTCAGGTTTATTTCCCTTTTGCAAACAAGGTTCAAATTAATAATATTCTTAACTAACATATCATGCTTTCACCCGATTTCCATCCTACAAGGTCAACGATCGCTAGATCAGCGAGTGGTTTTGAACATCAGACAACCGATTGAAGGGTTACCTGTGCCCTAGTAGGATCAGTGCTGGATCAGCGGTTGCTGAGTAAGCAAATGGCAGACCACCGAGTGAGTTACCAACATGGGTCGTCTGTGCTCCAGCACTGATTTTGTGGCTTGGCGGCCGCGAAAAATGCGAATGGCCTTGAATGATCAAGCACCGAGTGGATCTTGGGTCCTTGTCACGCCACTATTTTTCACTTGCATATTTGACAAAAAAATTTACTTTACTGTATCTTCTGAGAAGCTCTTCTGCCTTTTCTTTTCTCTTTTTTTGCTCACCACAAGCAATACATCTGAGGCACCTAATGTATCGATCCACTTTTTTGCCGTACGGCTCAAGGTCGCATTGCTCTAAAAATTCTATAATGTCCCATTTTGAAGGCTTTTGTTCGAAATATCCATAATGTTCATTCCTACTTCCGTCCATCTAATTTTGAAAAAAAGGGAAAAAATTATAACGATAATCTACACGTCGAAAATTTCTATATGGGGTAGTTTTAAACCGATATCACGGAAACCGTTACACAGTACGAAGTGCGATTTTGATTGGATCAATGTCCCTTGGATGATTTTCTGTGATTCGCAGAAAACCGCAGAATTTCTCTTAATCACAGCCAACCACAGAAATCACCCTTAGTCACCGCAGAATATCACATAATTCCAAAAAATGCGCAGAATACCACAGAATTCATAATATTATCGCAGGATTTGACAAGCCGGCGTCGGGAAATCCCGAAAAGGTAGACAATAAATCAACGTAAATTACGAGCGTGTTCACCGGTGAATTTGGTTTGGATCGCATTAAATCACAGAAATTACGATATAGTACCGCAGAATTGTAAAGAAATTATAAATGTTACCACAGAATTAGACAAAAATTTTTATCACATTAAATCACAGAATTTATCTTAACCACACGCAGAATTTAGTCTTAACCACCGCAGAAAATCATCGTCCCTGCCTTGGAGCATGCATTAATCATATTCACACTCAATTATACAGAATAAGATGAATTTTTTCCACGTATTAAATTTAAATTTTGGTAGCAGTAATTATCCGAGGGCATAATCGATTCTCTTATAGAATTTTCACACTCACATCGCTTATATATTCCATTCGCTACCTTTTTGCATGTTTTGCAATATAGATGTGAATGATGATTGCATTCGTCATAGACCTTACACCCGTTCATCCATCCCCTAAAGATATGCCACTTTTCAATGTAATTTTGACATTTTTTATTCGTAAGTATATTATTCTGACCTTTCATTGTTATATATTGACAGAAAAAAATATAACGTGGCTAAAACTTTTTTATTATACAAACCTGCTCCATCTTACAAACAAATTATAAGCCTCATAAGTTGATAATTGCAGTAGATAAAAATCTTGAATAAACACATTTAAAAAGTCGAATAATGGCGATAGATAAAAACTTTATTAATTTTATAGCTAAGTATATTAATTATCAATATCGATCCTGACCTCAGTGGTCAGGACATGTAGTGATGCAAACGGCTTGAGCCGAGCCGTGAGCCGAATGGCTGAGCCGAGCCGATGATCAGCTCGGCTACAGGACTACTAATAATGCATCGGCTCCATAAATGGCTCGGCTAAAGATCTTGAAGACGAAAGAGCCGATAGGCTTAAAGCACATGATCATCAGCCAATAGTAATCATCCAGCGTCAAAATTATGCTCAATTTAGAGGTAGTAGATGAATCCGGATATATATTTATATCTGGATTAATCCGAATTTTAAATAAATCCGGGTTCGATTTTTGAGCAAAGCATATCTGGATATAATATAAATCCGGATATAATATAAATCCGGATGTAGATATAAATCCGGATGTAGATATAAATCCGGATGTAGATATAAATCCGGATGTAATAACTGTTCTCATAAATTCTGGGACAATTGATTTGCCGAATTCGATAAGTTTTTGAATTCGATGTTATCGAATTACTGCAATGCCAAAAATCCAATTCCGATAACACCGAATTCAAAAACTTAACGAATTCGGCAGATCAAATTTTTATTATTGTAATTGTCCCAGAATTTATGAGAACAGCTGAAATATAAATCCGGATGTAAATATAAATCTGGATAATAAATTACGATCTAGATTGTAAATTATATCAATATAGCAGGCTTTAATTCTGATAGGTCATGTATTGTTACTTATATACTGCATATATCATTTGACTTTAAACGAATGAAACGAATTGTAGAAAGAAACTGAATACATATTCAGAAACTATACTCTCACATTATTATATACAGTAAAAATAATTCAAAGTAAGTCAGAGTAATTCAGAAGTTAGCTATGGGGTGTACTTTTGTCATATAGGTCAAAACAATTCAGCAATCAGTGAGATAAATTACGCTTTAGCTAATAAGTGTTATTTTTTTTATTTAACTTAGTAATTTGCATACGTATAACGGTTCAAACAGTATTGCTAATAGTTAATATTTTTTCTGAGTATAGGTTATTCAATTAAGTTATTTATTATTTATATAAACATAAAATTTATGTAAATATTTTATTCATATTTACATAAAAATAGTTTAATTTACTTTAGCTATTTCTCAAAAGTGGTAATCACCGATCGATGCACTAAGTAAAAATGTTCACACTCGAAAACCTTTCCCAAAACCTAATTTAAACTTTAAAATCTAATCCTAGCTTTAATATTTAGGTTTAAATTTTTTTACTATTTTGCATAATTTTACATAGAAATATATATAGATTTATATAAATCGATATATAAATCTACATTAGGTTTATGAAATTTTTGTAAAGCTACATAAAAATTTTACATAATTCTACATGAAAATTCTACATAAAAACAACTTTGTGATGTTAGTACGGCTGACGGTTCCAAACACAACGCAAGAACCAAATAAATTCATTAAACCCAGAACTCCTTTTACAGTAAATCTATTCTTATTCAAGTTCAATAGTTAAAGTTTTTTTAAATCCAACGTAATAAGGCAGTCTTGAACAAAAACGTTCCCACTTATCTTTATTTTTTAAGATCATCCAATAAACGGCAGGTATATTTTGTCTTCTAAGCAAAGTTCACAGGAATAAGATTATTTTGAGATTATTTGTATCGCTACGCTATTAAAAAGTTACTTTAAAGTGCATAAATAAGCTACCCGGGCAATTGATCTTCCTCCTATGAATTTATATCCGGATTCAAACGGATTAATCCGGATTCATTTCTTTTTGGTTATATTCATATCTCAATTTATATCCGGATTGTAAAAATATCGATACGTATATTGGCATTGTTCAATAAATAAAAGAGATTTATCCCTTTTCTATTGAACAACGCCCATGTCCAGATTCTAACTCTACCAAGAACAGAATATATCGTATGCATAATCATATGTTAATTCCAAATAACAGGAATAATTCGTGAATAATGCTTTAACTGCTCAAGAAAATTTTGCTGACCAATCAAATGCGTTATGAACTATCTTTTGCACAGCTTTTCTTAAGTATAATATGAGTGCGTGAGAGTAAAAACCTGGAAACCGATCATAGTAAATCATTAAGTCAGTTTTCAGGTTTTCACTCTCACGCACTAATATATTCAAAGGTCCCATTTACTCTTGATATATATAAACCTGATACATATTAAGTAGGATTCCTAAATTTCTTCCATCATTTCTGATTAGGCGTGTGTAAATGCAATTGCTAGATTGAGCAAAGTAGACTATGCCACTTTTCGCTGCCAATCAAACTGTATAAGATCCGATTTAAAATAAAAATTCAAAAATTGCTACATAGTATATTCTAGCAAAAGGACTTGCAAAATTTTTGTATATGTTTTGTTAGCCTTATACTGCACTAACTACTTAATACGTACGTATTCCTACACAGTTGTCGTCCAAACTGTTTGGGACAGCATGATAATTAGCATCACATATGTTTTTAATCTGGTCTTAACCTAGTTTTAACAAAAAGGGAAATCCAGTAAATCATTTTACTTATTGTTATTATCATAAATGATTACAGGTTTTCCCAAAATCGGGAACATCTAGATTCTTTATATTTTATTAAATTAAATTTAGGGTTAGGGGCATCTTCTATTAGGATTTGATAGTTATATATAAGCAAAATTACCTTCCTAAAATTTTAATTAACCCATCAGAGGTAGGTTTAGACTGCCGTTTTTCATATTTTTTCATTTTTATTTCTTATTTGCGATCATCAATATTCTATAATTTGATTGGTCTGGAGTCATGTGATTATCCCGACCCAAATCGTCACATACTGGTAAAACTTTTCTGTATAACTTTACAATAGATTAGTAATTATGTAAACTTCTATATGACATTTTTGTAGAGTCAAAAATCATGACTAAATTTTTGCATAATGGCTTTTCGCTTATTTGAGTCTAATAGTAATGCTATATAGAGGGTTATTTTACACTAACAAAGGTAGAACTTTTGGGGCTTTCTTGTATATTCTAGATATTGAATCTTTCACTCTCTTGTAAAACCATTTGTTCTTCAACATATTTGAATAAAAAAGTTTAACTACTAGTTGTTGCTATACAATTATAATGTTAGTGACTCTGTGCTAAATCGAATATGAATAGGAAGTTCTTTCCAAGTCACAATAATGTTTCAATAGTTTGGACAGAAACATACCAGTCATTATTTGATCAAATCGAAATTTTAAGTTTGGTGAGATCTATTTTGTCCAATAGAAGCTGATAGAAAAATTTACAAACCTGATAAACTTTGTACATAATTAAACTTTTCACAATATATAAATAGATTTTATAATCAGCTATTATTTAAAATATGTCATATTTGTGAATCATACCAAGTTGAATATAATAATTGAGTTGTAAGAAAAGAATTTAATATATATATTATACTTCATAATCAAGTTTTTCTTAGCATTTGCCAAATGATATGATTAAATTATATATATAGATAATTAAATTTCTTACAATATATAGAACAATTTTATCATATGTAGTATTATTAAAAAAATGTCTTCTCAAGAATGATCGATATTACCAATACTATTAGAAAATGAAGTTTCTTGGTCATCCCAAGAAAGCATTATTTTTAGTCCTGCTTCAAATAATGAAATTAGTAATAAATTAAATAATGAAACTAATAATAATCATTTATATACTATGGAATTTTCAACATGCAATTGAAAAAAAAGACGAACGATTAAAAAAAACCAACTATCAGCCTTCTTTGTACCTATTCAAATAAAAAATACAAGAACTAATGTTACTTATACATGTTTTTTTTTTGAGAATGACAAAACAAATAATGAAGTTAAATACTATAAAATTTATGTTAAAGAATGTGAAGAAACTTACACGAAGCCATACTCATATTCTAAAGCAGGTGGTAGCATGGGATATTTAACATATCATCTCAGTGATAAATATAATATTACTGTGAATAATTATAGAGAACATCTTGATTCATCTCAAGAAGTAGGTTACAGTAATTTAATTAGAAATGTTGGATTTAAAGCACTAATTAAAATTAATTTAATCAATCAATTAATAAAATTTTATAATTTTTTTGTTGTTATATAGCTAATCGTAAAAGTGAATCTAATCACAAATTATATTACTCAATTACCTCTAGTTTCAACAAAAAGACAAAATGGACTTACTAAAGTTCTGATAAAATTTATCATATATAACATTCAACCTTTGTATATATTACAAAATTCATCTTTTCGGCGATTGCTTTTAGAATTTCAATCACAATATCGAATACCATGTACAAGTACCATTAAACAATATATTTCAGAAGAATATTTTAAAGGGATAAATCAGCTTCGAGAAATATTAACTAATACTGCCACTATAGTTCACTTAACAACAGATTTGTAAACCTCAAAAAGTAAGCATGGATATATCAGTATTACTGCAACATGGCTTACATCTGATTTTGAATTTCAAGAAATGTTACTATCATGTTGTAACATGCCCTACCCACATACAGGCGAAGACATTAGTAAAGAACTTTTCAATATCATTAATAAATAGAACTTAGAAAATAAAGTGTGCATGATCGTCACAGACAATGGTGCTAATATAGTGAAAGGAATTAGGTTATTAAAAGATGATCATTTTGTAAAAGCTCAATGACATTCTTGTGTTACACATACCTTTCAACTTTCTGTAAAGGAAGAATTGAAACAAATTAAACATATTCATCAACATCTTAAAAATATTCAAACATTTTTTCGTCTTCCAAAACAATCCTAACAATTAAGAGAAATGCAAATAAGTAATATATCGACAGAACCTCAAAGCATTAATAATGATAATAAAATAGCTAACTCTCTTGAAATATTAACTAACTGTAAAACACATTAGAACTCAGCCTATTTGGCCTAGAAAAGGATATTAGAATTGCATCTAGTAATGTGTTTACTAACTGCATCATTACAGTTCAAGCCAGATACAATATCTAAAAAAGAGAGTGAAAAACTAGACCAATTGTGTTTAACACTCAAAGAAAAAAAGTATTTAGTTTTAAGTGTTTTTATTATATATGCATTAAATAACACTATAAGGTGTTATTTTATACTAGAAATTGGAACCACATTTAACCATTATTTATTTTATATAGTTAAGTAGTCAAAAATTTTAAAACGATTAATTAACCATTAAATTATTCGCTTAATTACTTTTTGAATTTATGCAAGTAATCATTTAATTTAATAATTAACTTTCAAAAAAATGTCAGTATTATGTATATACGAACCTAGCATTTTTGTACTTAAAGACATTAGCCAGCTTTAAGGAAAATATATTTGATTTTTTAGAAAAAGTAATTTATTGCTTTCATATAGTAATTTGATAGTATTTCAGAATATTAATAATAGGAATCTTCAAAATATTTTAGTAAACTTGCATAGCAGACTAAACTGCAAATGTTTACACAGAATGTATTTATTATAGTGACATTTTGTAAGACCAAAGCATTAATAAAAATACATAATTTTATATCACAAATCTAAAATTGTATAGAAAGAAAGATACAATTAATTCGATATAAAACTTGCTGTTAGGATTTGTAATAGACTATAACTAGGTTTTGTTTTTAGAGCACCTAGTACTTTAGATCCAATAGTTACACATCACATTAATATAAATTAAACACAATTAAATGATTAAATATAATTAATCACTTAATTTATAGTTAAATGAAGTGATTAAATGGTTAACGAAAATTTTTGCAGTTTTAAACTCTATTTTATGCATATATAATTATTACATATTTATTGTATTTACTAGTTTTTTTTATATTCAGATTTGTAGAAGAGGTGGTTGATATTTTAAAACCTTTTGAGGAAATAACAAGACATTTTAGTAGTTCTAAATATCCTACCACAAATCTTATATATCCTTACATTCATATGTTAAAAAATAAGTATATACCATGAGTTGAAAATAGTGAATCTTTTGAAAATTAGATAACTCTTATCTACGGATCTTTATCAGAAAACTCTGAGCAAACATTAGAGAATCTTTCAGATAACAATACAAGTGTTAGTAGTAGTGATAAAGTCAACATACCTTTAGCTAGAAGTAGGCAACAATGGCAGTATGCACACTGAAATATGCATAGTCAAAGCCAAGACTAAGGTTGTAGAAATAGCAAATATAGAAGACAGGATATTTTTAAAATATTCTTATGCTTATATATTAGGTTGTACATAGTGATAGGAAAAATGCGCATTTTATAATAACATGCGCATGAAATATTTCATGTGCATGATTTCGCATAATAAAAAAAAGGCAAAAAAAAAGAAAAAATAATTGAGAAGAGAGAAATTTTGATGTGATAAAATGCACATAAAACAGAATCATGCACATGTTTTTGAAATCATGTGCACATATGAAACCCATCTCTAGTTGTACAAAGTTAATTTTTCATTTTTTATTACAAATTTGAGTCAACAATTAGCTTTTTTTTTTCTGTCGACCCTATCAGATAATTTAGGAGATAAAAATTACAAAAAAAATAAATTAAAAAAAATAGAACAATTGGCATAACTAGCACTTAAAAAAAAACAAAAAAAAAGGGCCAGTGAGTTATGCAAAATAAAAAATTAACTTTGTATAGCCTTATATATCTCTATCTTTTTATTATAAATAAAATTAAGGCATTTTTATTGTTTAACATGTAGCAAAATCGGTTACTGAATTAAATAACACAAATACAATAAAAGATTTGTCATCTGCAAAGTGTAAAAAACTTTTAGAAAAAATGCATGCTACAATTTACTTATCTCTTGATGAATTATGGAGTATTTCTGATGAAGTAGAATTAAAAGCTTCTATGTTAGATCCAAGGATGTTAAAATTACTTCCATTCACTACTGTGGATAAACATAAAAACACTGAAGCACAAATTCATACAGAATTATCAATATTAGATACACAGTTTAAGCAAAACAATAATAATACAGAGACTTGTATTACTACAGAAGAAGAAGAATATAATTTATTAAATGCTGAATTATGGGGTTTACTTTCAATATTTGTACCACAAACCATTACTGAAGATGAGTTGACAAGATACTTGAAAGAGCAAATTGCTTATAAAAGCCAAGATCTTTTAATATAATAGAAGGAAAGATGTGAAAATTTTCTACTGCTTTCCCAGCATGCTTGCAAATATTTATCTGTTCCTGTAACATCGGTTCCTTTTGAGTGTTTATTTTCTAATGCTGGTACTCTTATATCCACAAAAAGAACTCGCCTTGCACCTAATTTGGTAAACATAATGTTATTCTTAAAAAGAAATTATTTATTTTTAGAAAAAAAATTATTTACTTTTAGAAAATAAATAGGTTTGTATTTTATTTATTTATTTTTTTAAATAAAGGTTTGATTGATTTATTTAAATTTTCAAGTAACTTTTTACATTTAACAGTCATTAAATGATTCAAGTTTGTACAATATGAGGCATATACATATATACAACATGATTATTAGAGTTACTTTGATCTGAAATTAATTGTGATTGAGCTTTTTAATAATCTTAAATATTTATCTTTATACTAATGTTAATACACAAATTTTTATGCAAATAATATCTGATTTCTGATTGGTTTTAAATTTAAAGTGTTCAGTTCTTAATTATACAATCTATCTGATATAATGCTCTGGCTTGGAAGTAATATATATGATTTAGCTTGAACATTATATTAGCTATGTAGAATTAATATTTTATTAGGATTTGAAATTATTATAGTTAGCAATTAAAGTATATACAACTAATGTAAATATTAATAACCTATTATTCTTTATGAACTGAAACTCATTCTTATATATCTGCATTGGGGTTTAAATCTTACTAATAGCTTATATATTACTCCAATAAAGAGCTATTCACTCTTATTGAGAGATTATAATATTTGTTAACAGCTTCTAACTCTCATTGAGGGTTAAACCCACTTATGTTATAACAATCCTTGCTAAAACAAGAAATATACAGTTAGACCTCTCTAAATGCATAGTCATGAGTGGCCAAAAAATATTGCATTTAGAGAGGTATTGCATTTAAGAAGATAAAAATCTATAAGTGTTATATGAGTTGGAAACAAATAAGGCCATGCATTTAGAGAGGTCTTTCATAAACTATGCATTTAGAGAATATGCATTTAGGGAGGTTTGACTGTATATACAAATTATAATGATAAACTATGACACTGATTATGTAAATAAAGGATTCTAAACATAATACTAAATTATTCAATATCAATATTCCATTATATCACAACTCTTTCCAATGATCATCTGGACCAAGTTGGCACCGAAAGTAGATTGAAGATTCTGGCTCCAAAGTGAATAATATTCTTAGTTTTATAATAAGTAAACTTGCTATTGACAAAGCTCAAGTACATGATACACTAAGAAGTAAGCGAAACTTGAGTAGTTCTTGCCTTGAGTTAAGCTTTTTGTCTGGTGAACTCTCTCGCATATTCAGCATCCAAACTGAAAGGATATTCTGAAAGCAAATAAAGACTCAGTTCTTTGGTTAAGAATATTAGAAGCAGAAGAAAAAAAAGAACAACTAAAAAAACTCTTTTTAACTTGGACCCTTGCAACAATGATATACTTTCTTTTCATCTTTTTTTGTTTCCTTTTTCTTGAAAAGTAGAGATTTGGCTTACCTCCATCAAAAGATTAACATTGTAAATCACTTCCTTTTGCAGTTACATGCTTGTTTGGATATGGCGAATAAGGAACACAACAAATACATAAGTCAGCCAATTATGTGGAGCAGATTGAAAAAGGATTTAATTTGAAAAGACCAAAAATATATTGAGATATGCATATATTCCAAGGCCATGTGCATAATATTTTTTAAAAAAAGAGTTACA